ATTATTATTATTATTATTATTATTATTATTATTATTATTATTATTATTATTATTATTATTATTATTATTATTATTATTATTATTATTATATGTCTTCTAACCTCCAACTCACAAGTAAGACACCCCTTCCCCAATTCGGATTTGGTCTCAACAACCTCTAACAAATGTCCCAAGAAGCCACTGAAAATCTTCTGTCTTTCATGGCGATATTTCTGAATATATAAGCTTATTGGGACACTTGCGGGATCAGATCCGGAAATCCCCCACCCAAAATTTATATAAATTATTATTATCATGGTTTTTAAAAATGAAATGGTGATCAAACCGGTTAGGGTTTGGTTATTGGTTCGAACGGTTTGACTGTTCGACCCAAACGATTGACCCATTCTAACAAAAAAATAAAAAAATTAGAAAACGGTCAAAACTGTTCGAATGATTAATCGACTGGTTCAGCGGTTTGCTGACCAAAATCAACGGTTTTGAGAAAAAAAATGGTTTTGGGAGAAAACGGAACCGGTCAAATGACTGGTTCCTGGTTTCTCCGGTCCGATCCGATTTTAAAAACCATGATTATTATTGTTGTTGTCGCTTGTGTCTTCCAACCCCCAACTAGGAGATCCCTCTCTCCTAATTTTATGGGGTATAGGTAGGGCTGTTCATAAGAAGGCCCAACCCGACCAAACCGACCAACCCGAACCGACCCAACCCGAGTCGTCTGGGTTTTCATCAGCACGGGTGAGTTTCGGGTTGTGCAAATTCTTAAACCGATGATTCGGGTCGGTTTCGGTTTTCACACAAGAAGTTCCTAGTTCAAACATGAAGTTCCAAAGCCCATTAAGCCACTTAATTTTTGAATGGTTGCAAGAAACTTTGTATTAGTGAATGGTGATTAATGAACAACTTTTGTGATTAACTTTTCATTTAAGTTTTATCATAGGAGATGGCTGAAATGATGTTCAATTTATGACTTTTTAAAATTAGCAAGACTTTATCACAGGGATGAACTTAGAACCGAAACCGACTCAAACCGATCAGGTCAGTTTTGCTTAACATTGTGTCGGTTTCATTTTCTATGTTAGGTAACCCGATCAAGTCGGATCGGTTGGATAAACTGCAATAAATCGACCCATGAACAGCCATAGGTATAGGAAATATGGATGATAGGTGTGGGAGTGTGGCACTGAGTTCCAAAGCCCGTAGATGGACGGGTAATCAGGAAATTTTAAGACCTAAACGCCCTCTATTTGGGCCACCAAAGCCCCCTGTCCTCACTTAAATGTATTCTTTTTCAATTGACATTACGCCCCTACATTTGTGTCCCTATTTATGTCCTTTATAGAAGAGTCAAAATGAACTCACACGACCATCACAAACAAGTTTTTGTTTTCTTAGGAATCACATGTGGACAAAGATGTACTCATATGCACAGAGGACTTAGATTTTGCCCTTTTGTTCTTTTGGTATTTGGTGACGAATCTACTAGTGAATACCATCCTCTTCACTAGATACCCTGCCGCCCACCCCCCACCCCTCACCGATAAAGTCCTTGTACCCGCCACTGCTCTTACACTAATAATGATAAAATGTAAAATGGAGTGAGCTTCTACTTGTGGTACAGGTTAAAGGCTTAAAGCCACAAGACACTTGCCATGTGTCTATAATATATATTAATTTTTAAGGCATGTGCCTAAGTTTTTTAAATATAGGGCTACAAGTAAGAAGAGAATCAAATTAGAAAATTGTCAATTTTAGTTAGATAAATCAGAAATGGGAGAATTATGGGGCATAATATTTTCTCATTTCTTTTTTTTTGTTCTTTCTTTTGATAAATTACCATTTTCATTCCAACTACAAATATTTTTAACCCTCTTTAAAAAAAAAAATAACCAAGATGTGTATCGGGTTAATTTCAACCATAGAATTAAACATTGAGCCAATTTTAAGGATTTCTTTTTAACTTTTTTTTTGGAAGGCTCTTTTTAACCGTTTAAATCAATAAGGTGATCTCTGCATGCATTAGAATAAGTAAGATACCACCAAAAAAAAGAAAAGAAATAAGATAAAGTTGTTGTTTAGGTGAAAAAAAACTATCGTTTTCATGATAACAATAAAGGATTCAAAAGGGAAATGATATCTCGGGCCACATGCCATTTTGTCATAAAGCGATAAACCACTTTGGATTTGCGGCCCAACATGGATATCTGGAGAGCACCAACTCTGTTCAATGCTTTCTCGGTATCCTCCCCCAAAAAGAATCAAAAGGTTTCCTTAAATTTATAAAAATTTTAAAATTACAACTCTCCATAGTCTATTAATAGCTCTCTATAAGTTACATCTTGTCCGTAAATTTAAAATCAATTTACGATTAGGATTTATCTCACGGACTAAAAATTCTGAATTAGGCTGAATAATCATTCTTTCAATTTAAATTTATAATTTCCTTACAAGAACTCAGAAAATTTGAGGAAAAACCTTACATATGTATGACCGCGTGCACAAGCACGTGCTGAATAAAAAATTGTTTTACTCATTTGAACATTTTTAATATTTAATTATTTTTTATATCATTTTGAAAGGTTACACAACAGGGTACCCATCTCAACGCAAGTACAAGCGTTTTATTTTGTATTAACATAAAGTTTTTGCCTTTTTTTCATTTTACAATCTGCATTATGAAATCAGATGTTATAATAAATACAACTTAACCTGTAAATCTTTCCAAATTATTCTAATTTTTGTTTCCATTTGTAATAAATAAATTTCATTTATTATTATTATTATTATCATTATTAAACACATGCTGACTGTGGGCCCAAGCAAAGGCAATTTATTGGGAGCAGCCCTTCGGTGAGTTCTCAAGAACCAACCCTCTCTACATGAATTAATTGGCCACATGTGGGCCAACTGGCAACCCTAGAACCAATATTTTTCTTTTGAACTGTATATATTACATTTAGGAAAATGGGAAGCATAACTTGCTACGTTGGTCCTCACACCTGACGCCTCACAGTCGCCTCACACGCACATCCTATCATGCATTGAAAATATCTTCCATGTATATTAGTTATTATTCACTGGATATGCTCCAATGCATGGTGAATGTACATATAAGGCGCCTATTTGTGAGGAGCAGATTCCGCTTCGTCAATGTGATAGTGATAGCATGTCTGCCCCTCACGACGTTGCGCCCCTAAAACGTCCCACGGCATCACGTGATGCCGCGTGCCTCTCACACTCGAGCACCCGAGATAATGGAATGGCCGTTAGCACGTCTAGTTAGCTCTCATTTTGCCCCAAAAGCCAGTTAGAACCCATCTCTCATTCTTCTCTCTCTAACCTCGGCCTTTTACAAGGAATGCTCTTAGTTTTTGAAGCAAAAGAATTTGAGGGCTGTGAAAAGAAATGCTTAGGGACTAAAAATTTGAGAAAAACAAATCTGAGATTGAGACTGAGAATGCCAGATCTGAGAGTGAAGATGGATATACATCGTTTGTTGGTAATCTTCCAAAACGAACTCGACAAGTTCTAGCGATTTCCGACAGGTTTTAAAAAGCAGAGGTCGAGAGTTAAGGTGAGAAGCTGAGATTCAAAAGAGAAGAGTGAGAGATGGGTTTGAACTGGCTTTTTGGGCAAAATGGGAACTAACGGCCTGCATAAAGGAGAGGTGCCCAGGTGTGGGAGGACACGCGACATCTTGTGATGCCGTGGAACGTTTTTGGGACGCAACTTCATTGGGGGCAGATTCGAACTCGGATAGCATCACTATCAATATTAGTTAGAAAAATTAAAAGTAATTATTCAGTTAGGGGAGTTTTGGGGGGGTGGTTGTTTAAGACTTTAAGACATTAATAAGGTCTAAGTCTAAGGTGGATTATTAATACTCTATTAGTGCTACTACCAAATTGGAAATGAATAATAGTCCAAGTGAGATGGATGTCAATATATAATTAAGATTAGGAATGTAGGCAGTTGATGATGAGGTTATTATATATAATTGATTTCAGCTGCAATGGGCGAAGGATTTATTGCCCGAGACATAACTTTCGTAAACAACGCGGGTCCTGCCAAACATCAAGCAGTTGCCCTTCGAGTGGGAGCGGACAAGTCGGTGATATATCGGTGCTCCATAGTTGGGTACCAAGACACCCTCTACACTCACTCAAACCGCCAGTTCTACCGAGACACCGACATCTATGGCACCGTTGATTTCATATTTGGGAACTCGGCAGTTGTGTTTCAGAACTGCAACATATTCGTGAGGAAGGGCATGTCAAGTCAGAAAAGCTTTGTGACAGCCCAGGGGAGAAAAGATCCAAATCAAAACACCGGCATCTCAATCCACAACTGTAAGATCGTAGCGGCATCTGATGCCAAGGGTCAGCAGTCGACGTACTTGGGAAGACCATGGCAGCGTTACTCCAGGACGGTGATTATGCAATCCTACTTGGATGATTGCATCCACCCGGCAGGATGGTTTCCCTGGTCTGGCAGCTTCGCCCTTTCTACACTTTATTATGGGGAATACATGAACTCGGGTCCTGGTTCCTCCACATCTGGTCGCGTCAGCTGGTCTGGCTACCACCCCTCCCTTGCAACTGCCGAGGCCACAAAGTTCACTGTTACCAATTTTATTGCGGGGAACCTTTGGCTGCCATCCACTGGGGTCGCATTTGATTCAGGCCTTCATGGATAAAATTAATTAATATCGTATTTGTAATTTGTATGGTCTCTAGATCCTCTCTACTTCTACGGCTCTACGCTATCTACCATACCGTAATTATAAGCCTGCTTAATTATGTGATTTCATTTGGAAATGTACAGTTGTCCGAAATGGACAACTTTCTTTTAATTCTCTGTGTGTCTATGTATGTAATTAAAATTTTCTTTCTACATACCCATTTATTGGAAAAATTAAACGACTCCGATTCTCTTGTTCACAATACATTACCGCCGTGCAGTGCGATTTGGGAGCATCTCCCTTGCAAATTTGCATAATATACTATGTAGAAGGAGAAGAAAATGAGATGTTCTCCATGTGTGACTGCCATATGATATATAGGTAAACCGTAAACGTAGGCAGATTTATTATTGTGGGCGACTCAAATTAGAATACCTACTCTATGCTTTCTGCTTTATATACGCAGGTAAAGTGAGAAACGAGAAAATTAAAATAGAAAGGTTATTATTAGCAATATCCATAAAGATATTAATATCATGCTGTTCAATCCGAGGTGGTGCATAAATTAAAGAGAGTAATTAGATAGTTCTTGCTAACATGGCGAGATCGAGTTACAAGGATGAGATCATGTTTCAAAACCTGCGATCAAGAAACAAGTTAGAGGCCCGAGGAGTTATAGTCGGATAAGTACTCCAATGCTCAAGTCAGTAAAAAGTGGCAGATGGTCAGGCCAAGCTATAAAGATATTGGACTAAGCTAAATAGCAGTGTAGGTCTCAGAAGTTCGGATCCCTTACCTCGAGCATGGAATACCTTTTTTATAGGCAAAGATTCGTGTCCTAATCGAATTGGGCTTCCGGGGTTGTCGAAATGAGGTTAGCCGCCGAGGTTTCCGGGATAGAGTCCCATTCCCTAGAGGAATCGTCTTCCTTATTCCTCTTTATCCGTACTTGTGATCATCCATGTGACGTGTGGTTGACGTGGCTGAAATGATAAGATGGGGGGCCACAATAATAGCATAGCTCAGCTAAGCTATGCCGACGTGGCCGAGCTAGGCCAATGTGCCCAAGCTATGCCGACGTGGACGAGCTAGGCCGATGTGGCCGAGCTATGCCAACGTGGCCGGGCGATAACTGGGTGGCCACATGTCTCACAGGGCCAGCTCAGCCATGACCCGAACACCACACCCCCAGTTTTGAAGTCGAGGAATGAAGTAGTCCAATTCGTTCTTTGGCTGAGGAACACCCAAGTTGATGTCTGGATGAGCGTCTGGCCCCTTTGGTGTTCCTCCGCGCCTGTCGCAATCTTGAGGATCGGGCAATATGGAACAAGGCCGAGGAATCTTCCCATCGTCGTCTACAAAACTCTAAGAGCTCTGACTTCGGATTCCGAACACCACTCCCCTAGTTCTGGAGCCGAGGAGGGGGAGTGCTTGGTCTGAAGTGTTGCATGGTTGCGTAGCTCGGTAGAGTGCCGAGGTGTCAAATTGAGCTTCCAAGTTCGTCCTCCTAGTGGAGCCGAGGAACGGCTCTGATTCCAAGTGGAAGTCGAGCTTCTATGCCATGGTCATTGTGATGCTCGGCCATGGTGCGCCGAGCTTTGGAGTTGGGTCCGAATTTCGATGGTAAGGCCGTTGTGATGCTCGACCATGACGTGTCGAGCTTCCGAAGTCGGGGCTTAGCCCGGCTGTATGCCGAGGAAAGGCTTTTTACTACTGGTTGGAGGTCGAGCTTCGGAGTTGAGGTCGTTGTGATGCTCGGCCATAGTGCGTCGAGCTACGAAGTCGGGGCCCTTAGGGTTGCCAAGCTGTGGAACTGAGGCCATTGCGATACTCGGCTATGTCTTGCCAAGCTTCAAAGCTGAGGGCCTCTAGGTGTCGAGCTATTATGATTTTTGAGGGCCTCCAGGTGCCAAGCTTGTTGTCATGTTCGGTTGTGACTTGCCGAGCTTCAAAGTTGGGGGCCTCGTAGGTGCCAAGCTATTGTGATGCTTGGCTGTGGCTTGCCGACCTTCGAAGTTGGGGGCCTCGCAGGTGCTGAGCTATTGTGATGCCCGGTTGTGGTCTGCCAAGTTTTGAAATTGGGGGTATGCTCGTCGGCAAAGGAACTTGTACTTGAAATTTTGGGATCCGAGCACCACTCCCCTAGTTCCGAAGTCGAAGAGTGGGATGCTCGGCTAGGGCAAAGCGAGGCCTCCTTTATTGTTGGGCGTCTCGAGGAAACCAGGGGAACTAGTTGACCTAGTGGGCCTGGGCGAACCTCAAGCACCTGCGCCGGTGGTTGGACCGCTACCGCTAGGTGGACCGAAGCAATTAATGCCCTGGTCGTTGCTTGTCAAGGTTGTCACTTCGATTTCCGAGGATTTGTATATGTAGTAGCAATCACGTCGATTGGTCTTCCCGAGCTTTGTTAGGGCGGCGTTTGATCTTTACCGTAGATCTGGCGTCGATTCGCGTTCTTGTGGGCTATAAGAGGGGGTGGAGGGGCATTTCCCCCTTGCCATTTGCGAGAAGAGTAGTTGGGATAGCTCGACGGGGTGTTGTCAGCGTTGCTCGGCGATTTGTTTTTATTCCCGGGCTTCAAGCTCAGTAAGATGTCTTCCTCATCTTCCCATTCTTCTTCCGCTTCTAGCTCGGGAAGACCAATCGATTTCCCCCTTCTAGTGTAGAAGTCAAGCTTCGGTTGGTGGCTGGTCGCCGATTTGGGACCACACCCTACGCATTGAACCTCGAGGACATGGCTCGGATCCGAGCTATATATGACATCCCCGAGGACTTCCAAATGAGGTGTTCGTAGCACTGTGAGATGGCAACCGATGCTCGGCCCGGCGAATTTTGTGTGTACGAGAACAGCCTAGAAGTCGGGTGAGGTTTCCTCTGAATGAAAGGGGTTGATGAGGTACTTGCATGGTTCCGAGTACTGTTGGTGCAGCTGATGAAGAACCCCTTCAGGTTTTTGGTTGGCCTTCTGTCCTACTACGTCGTCCGTGATATCGAGTTGACCCTGGGTATGGTGAGATTCCTTCTTCAACTCAAACCTCACCAGTAGGGCTATAACTATTTCTTGACTAGGAAGAACGTCAAAGTGTTGGTCGGGGATCCTTCCAATCTGAAGCACTGGAACGAGACTCTCTTCTTTGTCCACTATCCTGGGGGCCTCCCCTTCCCAGCCGTGCTACAAGAGCCGAGAACGAGAGTGCCCCAACCTCAATGGTTCGCGCTTACTTCCTGAGTGTACCGATGACTTCCTTTAGGTCGGCCAGGTGGTGCTCGGCCTTTTTTCTCTTTACTAGCATGTCATCGACGTATGCTTCTACGTTTCGTCCAAGCTGATCCTTGAACACCTCATTCACTAGCCGTTGGTAAGTGGCGCCAGCATTCTTGAGGCCAAAGGGCATTACCTTTTAGCAATATAAGTCGCGGTCAGGGATGAAAGTAGATTTCTCCTAATCGTCGAGGTGCATCCGGATCTGATTGTACCCTGAGAAGGCATCCATAAAGCTCAGGAGTTCATGACCTGCCATTGCATCAATGAGTTGGTTGATCATTGGTAAAGGAAAGTTGTCTTTGGGGCAGGCTTTGTTTAGGTCGGTGAAGTCGATGCATATCCTCCACTTCCCATTGGCTTTCTTCACCATTACCACGTTGGCCAGCCAGTCAAGGTATTTGACTTCTTGAATGAAGCCGGTGTCGACCAACTTTTGCACTTCGTCTGTGATCACTTGCCACCATTCTGTCACGAAGCTCCTCTTCTTCTGCTTGATAGGTCGGTAGCGGGGACTGGCATTCAAACGGTGCGTGATGATCTTGGGGTCGATCCCCGGCATATCTGTTGTCGACCAAGCAAATACGCCGGCGTGGTCCCCTAATAGCTGTACAAGCTCTTCCCGAAGGCGGTCATCTAGGAGATAACCGACCTGGACTATCCTCTTGGGGTCTTCTTCATTGAGCGGCACCTGGATGAGGTTTTCAACAGGTTGGTCGCATTGTGCCTCACCTCATCCCTTAGATCATAAGCTTTTGCCATCAATGTTTCCGCGGCCGAGTGTGGTCCTCGGCAGGAGAGCAAATAGCACTACCGCGCAGTTCTTTGGTCCCCACGTGCTACCCCTATACCATATTCAGTGGGGAACTTCATGGCGAGGTGGAATGTAGAGACCGTAGCCTGCAAAGTGTTAAGGGTCAGCCTGTTGAGGATGGCGTTGTACTAAGAGAGGCAACGAACCACAATGAAGTCCACCATGGCCGTTGCAGTAATGTCACCATCTCCAATCAGTAAGGGAAGGGTTATTCTCCTGGTGGGTAGGAAGGACTCCCCAGAGAAGCCCATTAGGAGAGTGTTGACGGGGGTGAGGCGCTCTTTGTCGATGCCATGCTTCTCAAATGCATCCTCGAAGAGTACATCAGTGGAGGTACCTATGCCAACCAGGATCTACCTTATCTCGATTGTGATTACCAAGGCATCGTCATGCAGGATCTGAACCCCCCGGAGGTCATCGTCGGTGAATGTGATAGATTGGTCGCGCTTCTTCTTGTGCCCCCGACTATCGATCTCACACAGTCGCGCATACTTCTTGCGCCCCGAGCTACTCTCTCCTCCTGCGGCGATTCCACCTAATTTGACGTGGATCACACCAGTAGGGGGAGCTCGAGGGGGTGGTTGAGCATCCTCCATGTGTTGTTGCTCCTGTGTCAGCTTCTCACTCTTGTCGATGAACCCACTGTGGTATCTGCGCCTGATCAGATCTTCAATGTGGTTGCGCAAGTCAAAGCAGTTCCCTGTGTCGTGGCCATGATATCGATGGAACTCTCAATACTTGTCGTGGTTCCTTTTGTTGCTTTGCGTTTTCATCTTTTCGGGCCAACGAACGTAGTTGCTGTTGCAGATCTGCATCAGGACTTCAGACCGTGGCATATTGAGCAACGTGAAGTTCCGATAGGTCGACGTGTTTGTGGTCTATGATCGAGTCGGCGGTCTTGCCTCTTATGGTCCCAATCTGATCTTTTTGACTTTCGCTCCTAAGTATCTCTCCTCCTCTTGTCAAGCCTCTCTTCTTCGTCTCGCAATTGTGTCTACACTTCTTCTACGTTGATATACTTCTATGCATGGCTCATCAGCGCAGCCAAGGTTTGCGGAGGGTTCTTGGAGATGGAGAAGTTGAAAAAGGAGGGGCGAAGGCCATGTTGAATAGCAGTGACATCCACGGACTAGTTCAG